ATTCGCTTGACGAAGGACGGACCGACCACGCCACAAGCATCGCGAAGGCGAATTCGGCTATGAACGGTTTGATTGATGGGAGCAGTCCAGGTAGGTATGCGAGTGGATTGCGGTGCTGATTTACTAATTAGTAATAAGAATTTCCTTTACTTTTAGAGGGCGACGCAGCCGAAGAACGCCACAGTACAACTCACGTCGAGCCCAGCAACGGAGCGTCAGACTATCGAGAGAACGGTTTCTACGCGGCTGCTGGCAACGCAGGATACCGTACTAGACAGCATAGCGATCTCAACGCAGCTAGCAGGTACGCCCTCTCCGTAGAGGACATGGAAGGTATTCGGCATGGTGAGTAGTGTCCCAGCACCAGTTAAGGAGCTTATTTTAACATCTTTAAAAGAGAGATCGCTGGCGGCAGACGAACTACTCTTCGGCGACATCAGCGTAACGAGCAGACCGTCGTTAGCACGCAAACGAACGGACCCTTCATCTGCTGATACAATGATCTCGGCAGAAGTGCCGGACGTAAGGTCAGAACCAGAGCCGGAAGACACGGAGATAATGCCTTGGCCTGCGACATATCTCTACAACGCAGTATTATATATATAAGTTTTTAGGAAATTCTTTTAATACTAGCGTGTTGTAGAATGGTCCTGCCATTCAAGGAATGAGAAAACATCATCAGTACATACCAGACGACTCCAAATGTAACGTTTGCTTTCTCCAGCTTACAAGATGCGACCGCAATACCATTGGCACGCCATGCACGCGATGCAAACAGAGCCGTGCCCGCTGCATCGACCAAACCGAGGAATCCCAATCCCTTATCCATCCCAAAGATCGTGATCGCCGCCCCCGGATACAACGTACCCAACGTATTGAACAGAATCCTCCCTGTAGACGCTGCTATGAGAAAGGTCGCGCCTGCATCCGAAATGGTCCTGAAGGGACACCTTGCAATCTCTGCAAGCATAACTTTGTCGGACAGGCCGCGCGTCACTGCCACTTTGACCTCACTGGCGCCACTGCCCCGGATAAAACCAACAATCGTGCTGGAGGCGAACACGCCGTTCCGTACAATCAGAAATGCTATCGGTGCGCAACGCAAAATCGAGCCTGTAATGGACAGTTCCCCTGCAACAACTGCACCACGACATCTACAACGAGGTCCTGTATGAACGTATTAGAAGCAAGGAAAAAGAAGCCCCTCGCAAAATGCAGAAGCTGCGAGCGCGACATGAGGTTCTGCAACAAAGAACGACCCTGCAGCACCTGCATTAGGCTTAAAATGAATTGCTTTTACATCGATCAGGAGGGTCTGCTTACTCGAGCCTACAAAGTCGACGGCGCTCCTATGCTGGCAAATCAGAAGCTTAATATGCTTAACGATGGAGACCCAAGCGACGATGAATGCCTACGGTGCAAGGCGAAACATCTCAACTGCTCCGGAACACAACCCTGTTACTGTTGTGTCAAGGACCACCACAATCTAAATAATCATGTCTCTGGTTGTAACTGGCGACGACAAGGAGGCCTTCTAGAACGCAACATGGTCGAGCCCTACACTATAGACGAGGAAGGACGCGTTAACCTAGAAACCAACCATGCAGACATTGTTGCCACAGCAAGGACAAGGGGAAGACTTATCACCAAAGATGCCTTCGCAAAGAGCCGGCCTAAGGAGCTGAAGGAAGCGACGAAGCCGAACAGGAAGCGCAAAAGGACCAAGGCCACAGTCGAGCATTTAGCTCAGGCATCCGACGCTGACCATGAAGACAACGAAACCCCAAGAGTCGCGATGACGGTCAGCAGCGACCGGCGACTTCCAGACCCAAGCACATTTGACGAAGCTATGAAGTCCAGCGAAGCAAAGCTCTGGCGACAAGCTATCGAAGAAGAGAAAACCAGCCTAGAAGAGAAGCTTACCTGGGATATCGTACCAATCCCAAAAGAAGTTAAGCCGATCACATCCAAGCTTGTCTTCAAGCGAAAGTACGGAACCGACGGCCAAGTAAGCAGGCACAAAGCTCGTCTTGTCGCCCGAGGTTTCCAGCAGGAGGAAGGCATCGACTATGAGGAAACGTTTGCAGCAGTAGTCAAGCCTGCATCCTATCGCATCCTGTTTGCGATAGCGGCTATCCTTGGCTGGACGATACACCAAGCCGATGTCAAAACGGCTTTCCTTAACAGCACTCTCCCCAAACCCGTCTATATGCGGGCCCCCAAGGGCATCGATCTACCACGCGGAATGTGCTTCCTAGTGCTCCAGGCGATCTACGGCCTGAAGCAATCCCCTCGAGAATGGTACCAAAAGTTTAAAAACACCATGCAAAGCTGGGAATGGCGCATTTCCGCACATGACCCTTGCGTCTTTATAAAAGACAGTACTGGACTCATTTGGCAGGGACGTACAGGCAATCCTCAAATTCAAAACCCAGCTCAGTGAGACTTTCCAGATGACCGACGAAGGCCAATGCTCCTGGTATTTGGGCATGCATATCGAGCAAAAACCAGGAGAAATACACATCCACCAGACGCAGTACATCGACCAGATCCTGGCTAAGTACGGTTTTGAGAACATCACTCCTGCCCACACACCTATGCTCGGCAAATTGACAAAACACGACAATCACGTTACAGATCACACCTTCCGTCACGAATATCAATCAAAGGTAGGATCTCTAAACTTCGCAGCAAATCAAACTCGACCAGACATTTCCTTTGCAACAGGATACGTCGCCAGACTACGCTTCGAATCCGAACTAGTCACACATGGACGCAGTAAACCTTATCTTTGCCTATCTCAACAGTAACCGTTGTAAAAGCATCCAATACTCAGGCAAACACGGTTTCGACCTAAAGGGTTTTGTGGACAGCGACTTTGCCGGATGCGAAGACTCGCGTCGATCCACAACAGGGTGGGTCTTCACGCTGGCAGGAGGCCCCATCTCCTGGAACTCCCAACGACAAAGAACAGTGGCCACGTCTACACTAGATGCCGAATACATTGCAGGAGCGGAAGCGGCAAAAGAAGCCGTCTGGATTCGAAATTTCATCAATGACTTGCGGATCCCAGGTCTCTACGTTAAATCTGTCCCCCTCTACATCGACTGTAATTCAGCGCTTAGACTCACACACAACCCCGAATTTCACTCCAGGTCGAAGCATATCGACGTCAAGCACCATTTTATTCGAGAAAAGGTGGAGGAAGGCGCGATCAATACGGAGCGTGTTAGCACAAAGGACAACCTGGGGGATATCCTCACCAAGCCACTACCACGAGAAACGCATGAGAGTTTAACTACCCGTTTGGGTCTTTCGGGAACTACCGTGAGGTGTGAGCGTCGGGGGGAGTGTTAATTTAGGCCACACACACCTCCCTGCCTACTAGGCCGCAACACCTCTGCCTACCAGGCTACGACACCATAATAAGCCAACTTCCTGTATTTAAGAGCTACCAGTTCACTAGATGCTCAATAAATCATCACTTCTTCTTCCAAGTCTCTACAGTTTTGCGCGACTCAGGGAGTGACGTTAGTCCTCGAGATTGTTACCAAAGCGTATCCCTGACAGGAAATCTTGAACCATGTTACTGAGCAGCCCTACGCACTGCCGGCGAACTACCGAGTCTGTCGAGACGGCATTGTTTGCGAGAAAGGAGATGTGCTTGACCGGGGGCGGCGCGTCCTTGTCGAAGCCCATACGGATCAGGGCGCGGATGGACGAAATGCAGAGGTGCGCCTCCGTCGAGTTTCTTAGGATCTCGACCCTAGGTGGTCGCCCGTGGACCGAGCCTGGGGGTTCCCATGTCCTTAATGCCCTGTTTTGCCTGGAGTTCAATCTCGGGCACCTTGGGCGCATGGATTCCGGCTGCTCTTGTTAGAATGCCGAGGAGATCGGGGGTTTAGGGGGGGGCAGTGCTCCTTCCACATCCAGATCCCCCAGACAAGCGTATCCAGCGCGCCTTCAATCCCACGGTGGTTTTTGCTCTGGATCAGATTATGCAGTTTAGCTAGCATTAGAGGAAGGAGGAACTGGGCGGAACCCGCCAACCTCTCAACCGAATAGCTCGCGCCGCTTTGCGGACAACATCGAACAGGGAACTGCAGCCCTCTGCCAGGTCCTGGAGCACTCTCCGTTCCACACGATCCATATGGCGGTACCTAGTTCCGAATATATAGCTCCGCTCCTGCTTCTGATGTGTGCTTTTCCTCCACGGTTATGAGCCCGGCGCTTCTAGAGAGCCCTACGAACCTACAAAGGGTGATCTCCCCGCGCACACGGAGGAGAGATGGGCCGAGTGCCTTCAGAAGCTTCAATGTCTCTCCATCCTTCCTCTCGCCACGATCGCGCTCAGTCGCGGCAACGCTCAGAGCAGCGCGACTGACGATTTCCACGATCGATCCACGTCAACTTACGCGCCCCATCAACCCACGATACGACCGGCGACTGCGGTACCGAGCACTCAGGTCACGGTCTTAACGCTCGATGTTACGCTACCCTTGGACGAAAATCAATACCATACCATACCATACCATAGGGTCATCGCGGACCCGAGGAGCCTGAGAAGCCCTGGGATGGCACTACAACTCACCTGAAAAGGATACTACGAGAAGAATGGGCTAGGATAACTCTCGACGATATACGGGAGATGATTTCTGAGATGCCCTGGCGCTGCCAAAGGCTTACTGAAAATGGTGGAGAGAAAATACGCTCCGAAAAGTGGTAGTTTTCAAGTCGCTCCACTAGAAATTCCACCTGTATATACTTTTGCATACTGCTCTACAGTCTCACGTACGATAAATATACGTTGCCTGGCGAAAACCCTTAAAAAACCTTCAAAAAAACCTTGATTGTATGTAAATTTGGGCGGCGGGTTTTGTGATGGCTGCTGACGTAATCCTGGTGCCGCCAACCGTCCAATAACGTCTCGTCTTGGCGGTGTCCGGTGGCGCTAAGTCCCGAGGTCCGCGACACAACTATAAGAATCACTTTTCCTCGCCCTCTCACCTTCCCATCGCCACCTCTTGACTTATCGACTCCCAACCTATTCATCTACGTGACATCCGGAAGGATGTATCGTCTAACATCGTGAGCCTTGCGTTAGCGAGACGGGCGACATCCGCGATCGAGAAAAGCAAACAAACAACGCACAGGAGTTTCGACATCACAACCCAACGACCTACGACCTTGGTGCGACATCACTTTGGACGGCAATCGATAGCCACTTTGTGCGCGACATGGCCGGTCCCGCACAACTATCGTTTCAGCCACCTTCACCTCCACCTTCATCCGGCAAACAAAATACGGAGGACGGAGTGCCGCTAGATTTCGTTGCCAAGAAGACCCAAGGGATTGCAGATTCGGGGGAGGCGAATCCCATGCCGAAGGAGAGACGGGAGGCGAAGGTTACGAAGAGAAAGGAGTTTGTTGATAGCAGTGGCATGGGTTCCGAGAAAGCGATAGAACAGGTTGCAGAGTCATCGAAAGGTGCGGCTGCCGGAAAGCTAGTCAAGAACGATAACGAGTACCCGTTGCCGTCGGAGCTGCCAGCATGGTATGCGAAGATCAAGACCACGGACCGAGGTATGAAAGAGCTAGGCAAGCGGCCCAGTTCGCTCGCGACGCAGGCCTTAACGGCCCTGTCAAGCATGAACGGATGCATGGATCGCTGCGAACAGCAGGGCGTAAGCCGTGCCCAGCTCGGAAAGCTCTTCGAAGAGCTGCGTGACCAAGTGCACAAAGCAGAGATCACGCTTAAGATTGACCGCTTCATCGTCCGCAAGACGAGGTTCCTCGACCCGGAATACGGGCTGCCTCGCATCTTCGCTTCCAAGAAGGTGGACTTCCCATGGGATCTAAAGGCCGACGCCTGGCAGCTCTATAGCCGATGGCGCCAAGAGGTCTTTGAGGTTGACATTTTAAGAGGTATCAAAATTGCTAGAGAAACTGACCGCGGTGGTGACCGCATTGATCCTACCTACAAGGGTAGACAATACGCCGATTTCTACGGGCAGGGCCACCTGGTGCTTGGACAGTGGTGGCCGACGCAGCTGTGCACAGTCCGAGATGGAGCCCACGGCAATCCTCAAGGCGGTATATACGGCAAGAAGGAGAAAGGAGCTTACTCTATCGTCCTTTCAGGGGGAGAATCAACCGACGAGGACAATGGAACCGATATCTGGTACACCCCCACGGACAGCACGGTCCGCATGATCGAATCATGTGATTCAGTGCATAATCCCGTGCGCGTCATTCGATCACACCAGCTGCCGAAACGTAACCGTTATCGACCGGTAGTTGGCCTGCGATACGATGGCCTTTACGAGGTCGTCGAGAAGAAGCCGGTTGATACAGAGAAGGCGGCGTACAAGTTCCATCTGGTCAGGTGCAAGGACCAGCATCCGATTCGCTGTGAAGACAACGCGGCCCGACGGCCGACGCGTTTTGAGATTGCCGGGGACGACGAGCGGCTCCACAGAAGGGCTCTGCGCGAGCTTGCAGAATTAAAGGCACGGCGTGAGGCTGAATAGAAGGCCAGGGAAGAAGCTACTGTTTGTCTTCCCATCGCCATGCAGAATAAACATATTCTAATGCCTCTGGACAACAGAAGAAGGGCTCCGGCTCTAGCTAAACACCAGGGAGCCTCTTTGCGGCAGCCGCCTCCAAAGATAAGCTCGACCCGTCTCTGCGCGACTTCCCTAGGAGGGAAGCACCGACTGGCCCCAATAATCAAGCGTGTTCATACAGTACTAAGCCAAAAGTCTGTTCGCAGCAGGGGTTAGCGAGCTTGGCGGAACATTCACCCCCTGAGTTTAACCACCCATAACTCCACCCCTGATAGTCGTAAATAGACAATTGAGAGCTCGTTTTATTCGCAGGAGCTTAATACCTCATTTGGTAACCATGCGCACGTCGTACAGCGCGTAGGCGTCCCGCAGAGCCTAATTGAACTGAGCACTCATCTAAGAAGCGCAGAGGGGTCCTTCTAAAGTCAAAATGCCGCCATCTACGTTCCCATTGAACTCTCAACTGGGCGGTAGCCCTGTTAATCTTAGGTCGGCGCACCGATCTGAACTTCTTAAGGCCCTCCGCCCTCAACGCCCGATAGGCAGGTTTCCTGGACACTCGCCCGGTGAGCCCTGCCTCTGCCAACAGCGGTAAGTACTCGATTTTCGGCGTTTTTTGAGCGTAACGGTACAGCTGTCGAATATCGCGACGCGATAGCTTATGGAGGCGCCCGATCGATGGCAGCTTTCGCAGGTGCCAGTTGTGAGAAATCGATTAATGGTTTTCTGTACGCAGCGCGTTGTGCAGCTGAATTCTTCTCCAGTCGTAACACCAGCCTCCCACTTTGAAATAATCGACTCCCGCTGTTGCACAGTTAATTCGGCATGCCGGCGATGATTATGCGAAATTTCCTGGCCAAAAGAACGTATTTGTGGTGGCATTGGGTGGTGTTGAAGGTGAGGTGGCTTTTTTGGGTGGGACGCGTTGACGCGCCACGCGAACAGACTTTTGGCCTGGCACTGTATGCCTGCAGCAGCCACCGATTGTGAGAGGACGTTCTCAGAGCTCGGGGACGTTGTTGAAGTACGACGTCTAAGTAAGAAGCCTGATCCGCTCTCCGCCCTGCAGGCCTACGGAGCTGGAAGCGCCTTGGCCTGAAGCCTCGCAAAAGCTTCTCAGGGGATGACGGCACGTGACCGTTTTATTCACGCGCTACGCTTTTCAAGCTATAAACAAGCCAATCAAACAAGCCGGAGCGAAATTCCTAACAGATCAAACCAAACAAGCCAATCAGAGCCAAAGAATCAAGTCAAACAAGCTTTCTGCGAGAGCTTGTTTCGCTTACTTGTTGCCAGGTCTGCTCTGGACAGCCTACGACTGGCTTTACGGCCACACCCGGCGCACCCCTACCAACACAACCTTTAAGGGCCCTGACAACTACTCGAAACGTACATTGGGATCCTCGCGTAGAATGGTCCTAGGTTTGATTGTCATAGGTCCTGGCGATGTGATAGTGGCCTCGTTGGATGTGTTGACCGACTCTCTCCATACTACGGGGCCTGAGCTCTTGGGAGCTAAATCTGCAGCCAAGGGACTACCCTCAGCGTGACTCGACACCGTATCTGAGCTTTGGACATAGGCCTCTGTTGCTGCTGCACTGACAAGCGATTCGGATGAAGAAGTGTTTCCGACCGGGTCAGATCGGATGGTGACCCATGGGAATTGATTGCTGATGCTTGTCTCCAGCGCCGGGTCGGTACGGTCAAGCTCGAACGTTGCGCTCTTGATACCCTTCGGCTTCCCCACTTCAGCAGGCACAGGCGTCGATGAGATCACGACGCCAGGGAAGCGCTCTTCTAACTCTCTTCGTCGACTTGGCGTTATGTCTGCTTCCGCAATGGCGAAGGTGACGCCTCGCACGTAGGAAGGAATCACCTCCTCCCTCACATCCTTCCAGGAGATAGGTTCATCGTCGAGGCCGTTGCAATCGGCGTCGAGGACGGAGTCGCGCTCGTCTGCGGAATCCCCATTCACGTCGTGAGTTGCTTCCTTGTCCGAATCCCCTCTGAGTATGGTGTCCCGAATTTCTGCGCCTATCTTCGCAAATTCCAAAATCAGATTATTGCCATCGACAAAATGTCGTCCGAGATCTCGGTCGCCGGCAAAGACCAAAAGGTCTAGCGTTTGTCCCCTGGACAGACATTAGCTGACCATGCGGAGGAGGTAGGATCAGAGGGTGGTTCTGCTTACGGCTTGTAGACTTCATCCCCTGTGGGAGGGGCACCCTTCTCTTCGATGCTTCTCAGCGTGTGAAAGAGGTCCGTCTCCGTCTCTTTCAGTAGAAACTGAAAGTGCTTCATCGTAGCTGCGTACCCTATATTTTCGCGAGCTGATGGGGGGCGTGCGAGATGGGTGGAAGGCGAGATTCGTTTGGCTCCGAGTGCTACGATTTCAACTCTGGGTACGCCGGTCGCTCTTGCCACGCACAAGATGCCCCAGAGTTAGTATCCGCCTGTGTGGAGTGGCGTGCTCGCTGTTATATTCGGGACGAAATGCCGGTTGGATCGCAAGCCTCTGTGAGACGGGGCGCCACGGGGGGCGGGGCTAACGCACGCGGGCGATGGGCAATATATGCTTGTTAGACGAAGACGTCGCGAACACAGCGCCGAAGTACTCGCATCAGAGACACAATAATGGGTTGTCGAAGTGTGCGGCGTACGGTGAGGTGAGGTTGGAGTTCCAGGTGGAAACAGACCCACCACCACCTTGGCGGGCTTGGCGTGGGGATTTCGTCATCAGCCGGCGCACGTCCCCACCCGACGCACGATTTTCAGATGCTCGCACCCACAACTTTTGAAGCTGTAGAGCTGTATATATATAGTAAAATCACCAGATTTTTTAGAGTAGCGCTTGCAGAAGCCTGATAAACTAATTGGCAACGATAAATTACGTGCGATAGCGCTGTGGGAGCCGTACTTGACGGGTGCGCGTGGCAGGGCCCGGTGTGGGCACCCCATCTACGATGGATGAGAAATCCACATCCACAACCTTAGTATCGTCTAATACATCAGGAGGGCGTGCAGGAGCCTTGAGGCGACGTCGATTACCCTTTTCGGATAATTATATATCCTGTTTGAGTTGTTTTTCAGCCTCTCGCGCAATCCTAGCTTTCTCGCGCGCTGCGGCCTTCGCGCGCTGCTCCTGTATACGTATTTCCTTTGCCACCAACTTCATGCGGCGCCTCTCCTCAAGCATAGCGGCCTTCTGCTCCTTCTCCTGCTGCTTGCGCTGTATTTCCTGGTCCTTCTGTTGTTGTTGTTGTTGTTCGGCGGCGTCTTTTTCTGCCTGCCTTGCTTGGGCGTCCTGAACTTTGGATGGCGACTAGAATATCGCTCCACCAGAGTAATCCTTTAGCGCTTTAAGTAGTAGAGCCTTGCCACGCTGTCGGCGCTTCTTCTTATTTATAAGAGCCTCTTTGAGTCGTTCGTTTTCATGCTAGAGGAGGGTTTTCTGTACGGCCATCACGTGAATCGTCTGGCTAAGCTGCTAGGAGCGTTTATCGTAGATATTCTCCACTACCTAGCGAAGTAAGCGCTTAATTTTTCTCTAATCTAAAGCGCTAAGCACTAACGTAGTACTATTGCTTAAAGAGGGCCTCTTAGTCTCTATAGTCTTAAATCTTTTAAGAATAACCTTAGGGTCTAGTAGTAAGAGCCTAGTTACTTTAAAGGCCTTAGTAATCGTATTTTCCTTAAAGGCTGTATGCTAGGCCTTATAGAACATGCGGAAGAAGTCTCTCTTTGTAATAGAAGTAAGGCTCTAGCAGTTATATATAAAGTTGCTAAGTTTAGTAGAGTAGACAGTTAAGAGAGGCTTAAAGAGAGCGATATTAAGAGGCTAGAGCGTATAGGTAGAATGTGGCGGATATATAGCTAGAAGAATTCGATTCTTATTATAGAAGTTAATAAACTTTATTAATATATATAAGTCGTAGCTATCTAGAATAAGTAATTAATAGAATTACTTTACCTTTACCTTTGTTTTCTTATTAAATACCTGTTAAAGCTATGCTAGCCCTAGCTTATTATTTGTCTATCTACTTAGTAATAAGGTAAAGAACACCTTATACTCTATAGAATTAAAATCTTAAAGCTATAAGTCTTATATATTTCTAGAAATAGTCTAATATATAAGCGTAGGCGTAAGAGAACTACTATTAGCGTAAATATAGGCTATTATAGTTATCTACTCTCTATTACTATTCTAAAGAACTTGCTTAATTTCGCTATAGTTATATTAACGTTAGAAGAATATACGCTTTATCTTAGTTACTACTCTAATTAGAAAGCTCTTCTTATCTATATTATATATATTACGCGACTTAACGTCGTACTAGGTAATCTTCTCGTCTAGAAGCTTAAAATATAGGCTGTATTTGAAGGCGGAATCTGCGCGGTAGCGTAAGGAATTAATGCTAGAGGCCTATTAAGAAACTAGCTAAACTTCGTACCGTGCGATAAACTAATTAACCTAGTTTTTTCTAGGCTCTTTTCTAGCTATTTCTGCTGCGAAATTTCTTATTATCTCTCTTGTAGGTAGTAGGCCTCGTCCGCAGAGCTAGTTAATATATTGTACAAGCTCTTTTTCTTGTATAGAGTTAAGAAGTCGCGAATTATTAACCTGCTCCGCACGGGTGCTCTAAAGCTTCTAGTAACGCCTTAATAGCGTTGAGCGCTCAACACTATACTTTATCGCAGTCTGCGTATAATTAGGCTTTTCTCCAAGCTTTAGCGACTTTAACGACTCCAGCGCTGCCTCAATAGGCTCCATATTGGTGGTGTTACGTGGGGTGGAAATTTCACGAATTTTGGTGTTGACTGTGCGTCGGGTGGGGACGTGCGCCGGCTGATGAAACACGGTATTTTGCACTTCATGGGTTTATCGTCTACCCTACGCCTCCTACTACTATCCACGTCGCGCCTGTACCAAACTATCGGGGGTGTTTCTGTAGAGGTATATTACTCGGCCCTTCCTCTGTCTGAGCTTTGGCGCGTGAATTACAAAGTAAAAACGCGCTAGTTCGCGTGCCGTGGCACTAGCGCCATGGCACGGACGCTTTCTCGACCGCATTCTCGACCCCGCCGCGACTCAAACTCTCTGCCTCAATCAGCGGCTGCCTCTCAACCCACCGATACTCGCATTCTCGACCGCATTCTCCCAACTTACTACTACAGCACCGCTAAACCGTCACACACAACCTCGCCGCTACCTGCCGCCAGCAGCCATGGCGAATGATGATCAGCTCAAGCTCACATTCGCGCAGGTGCTGAAGAAGGTATATTCCTAAGCCAGAGCACGCTGCATTGCTTGCTCACGGGTACTCACAGAATCTTCCCGCATCTACTTCGCTCGAAGAGCCGGTTGTCGCGGATTCGCATAACGGCGAAGAGGATAGCGCGGAGCAGACCCCAGCAACCGACGCCCCGCCTCAGCCTTCAACTCCAGCGTTGTCAGCAGCCATAGACAACATCACGGCCGATTTTGAGAAGAAGGTGAAAGAGTTGTTTGAGAGAAGACAGCGAGAACGAGAGGCCGATTACACGCCCACCCGGAGGGTCCTGAAGTCCTCGAGGTTTACCTCAGCGGGCACTCGATCCCCTTCCGCAATTCCCGACCGCTCTCCTCTTCCACAAGTTCCAACATCACTGCGAACAGTCGCCACGACCAGCTCAGCCCTGGCTCGACTACTACAAGAAGCAGCGCCAGCCCCGCCTCAAGACGAGGGTGAAAGTGGGGGCTCCGACAGCAACGTTGCTCCCATGGCGCCCATTGCCCCGCCGTCCACCGATTCCGAACTTAGCGACGCCTCCGATAACGAGAGCTTGCTCAACGACGACCTGCAGTTGCTACCACAAGAGTTCATCGTCCCTCTCCCCATAGAGGGGCGGCAGGTTAGCATGTACAGAGACGCGATCAACCACAGCAAGGACATACTGAAAGCCTTTGCTAAGCACCCTCAGGGATTTTCTGAGCAACACAAGGTCGACGAGGTACTGCAGCGGCTACGTTGCATCGAGACATACATGGATCTTATCTACAGCGAAAGCTGCACCTCGCAAGTCATCGGAGCATCCACACATGTTCAACAACAGGCGCAATGGACCCTCGACAATTCCGTCAAGTTCAGGTTCTTAGGAACTCTATTACACAAACTACGGGAGCGCGACATGCATGTCATACTCGTCATTGAGAAGGACGATGAGCGCCTGTTCGACATAGTCGAGACGTTCCTGAAGGGCAAGTTCGTTAACCTCAAGTCTCCCACGCGTGGTCGACAAGCGGACCTCGCACATGTTGAAGGCAATGTAATGGTGACAGTGCTGTCGAGCAACTCCAGCCCCGTTGTACGACCGCCAGATCTCGTCGTCTGCCTTGATGGCTGCCTCGAAGCCGCACAGATCCGGAAGAAGAGTTGGACTATGACCCCAGATCGATCTGTGGTTCCGCTCATTCACCTGGTCATTCCCAGGACTGTCGACCATATCCAGCGATACGTCTCTCAAAACCTCAGACGACTGCACACCATCATCGCAAGCCTGGCACAATTCCAGGGTGAATATGGACACGCAATGTATGCGCATAGTCCTCGAACAGATGTCGCAGCTGAGGGCGTCGTTGCTTTCCTCGTCGCAAGCGAAGAAGACGGTCAAGCGCAGGCTGACTGGCCTCTCCCGACCATTAGTAGCATTAAGGAGTTCCAATCACAGCAGTCACAAGAAACTATCACTTCGCCGCCGCCTGGTCCTGCGGCATCAGCGAAGCGACCCTTGGTAAGTGCAGGTTGATTGATATTCATCGTCGTCCAGTTCATGGTTTACTAACGGCTTCTAGGATGCCAAGGCCCTCCATCCTGCCAAACGCATGCGCTCGGCGCTACAGCCGCAGACAAGCCCAACCCAGCTCGAGCGAGATTAACGAGATCACGCACATGGTTATGGACGATCAGAGAAAGCTTTGAAAACGTACTGCTGATCCGCCCAGAGGGGTTTCGTGATACGTTGTTGCAGTTATTTTGCTTAGGGGAAGTTGATAGTGCTATTTTGAATAGCGAAAAGCGTGCCATATCTACTTTGAGGCTAAAGTGTATTAACTATTGATTGATTTCGGTATTACGGCTCTCTTCGAGCTCTGTTAGCTGTGAGACAACTATTTGAGCTCTGTCGAACTTAACACGCTGTTAAAGCTTGGTTAACACGCTGTTGGCATTCTGTTAATACATAGAGCTCTGTTAACACCAGAGCTCTATTGGCAAAAACTAATATCAACTCCCTGAGAGAGACGAAGTAACTGATACCCAGATCATAGTGTTCTCCGGCGCTTGGCACCTCTCGGATGCGCGAGGTGGGCTGGTGCTCAACACCATGTAGCTGCACGCAGCGGAATAATAACCAGCGCAGTAACAACCCCATACGCTACCATGCCGCAGCTGTCCAGGACGCGCTGGGTAGTGTTGATAACGCTGCCCTGTGCAGCTAAGTCTCCTGTAGCAGCTGCTAGGAGTGCTCCTTCCTTATACGTAGGTCGTTCTGCAGCATATGTTAAGCCTTGACATCTGTTAGAAGCATTTTAAGCGCTAAAATATGTTAGCAGCATTTTAAACGTTAAATATATTAGTAGCAATAACTTAAAATACACGTCTTCTATATAGTAAGTTTTACTAAAAGAAATATTATCTATATAATAAAGACGGTATTTTTATATTTTCTAAATACGCGGTATAGTATTATTAAAATAATTAGTAGGCGCGCTACTCTTATTCTACTAGATTTAAAAAATATAGTAGTATTAATACCTCTAATTATATAGATATTACTAAGATTCTCTTTTCTTCTATTTTAGAAGTATTCTACTAAGATAAAGCTCTATAAACCTCTATATATAAATCTTAGAGAAATAGACTCTATATTAGAGAAAATTCTACTCTATAGAGTTAGATTACGTAAATTTACTTTATATTATAAATTCTTAGTATTTACTACTAAGCTTTCTCTTTACTATCTATACTATATATTAGCTATTAATACTATCTATTTATCTTTAGTATATTTAGAGGTTAGTCTAAGCTTTCTATTAGAAGAGTATATAGAGTAATTTTCTAGAAACTTAGTAGAGATAGATAGGCTAGATTCTTAGATACTTTATAAAGATATAAGTATAAAGACTAGATTAATAAGTAGAAAAGAAAAAGTATTTTATAAAAAGTATAATAGGTAACTTTAGACTTTAGATTAAATAGTAGAATAATTATCTTATTTCTTAAATATATTAAGAGTATAGATTTAAATAGAAATTCTTTAAATTTTATTTTATTACTATACTTTCTTAAACTTTTTATAGATTCTTCTAGATATTATAATATATTCTAGAAGAAGTTAAAAAAATTAAGTAGATAAGCTATTAATATCTAAAAGTATTAGAAAGATACTTTTTCTAGCTATATTTCTAGTAGCTTTATAATCTATAAAGAATATAGTAAAGATTAAACTAAAAGAGTCTAGAGTCTAAATATTAGATTATTATATAATAGCTACTACTATTATAGTAGATAAGAATCTATAATAAGAGTCTAGAAGATAAAGCTATATTATATATAGACTAGATAAGAAAAGTAATAAAAAGTAGTCTAAAAGTATATAAATATTCTTTTATAAATTATACTAAAGAATACTATAAGAAGATTTAGTAAAGAATAATAAATAATAAGAAATATATATATATATATATCTATAAAAACGTATAGAAAGATTCTATATTCTCTTAGTAGAAAGAGTAGCTAAAAAAGTTAAAAGAAATTTTTTTTTTTAAAAAAAAAGATATATCTTTTAGACGTAGAGTTAAAAGTAAGTATCTTAATTATACTATAGTCTATATAGTATAATCTTATTAAATAAAAGAGAATTACTAGTTTTATAATCTAGTAGTAGTCTAAGATACTTTTATAGATCTATATAGAATACTTCTTAAGTATTAATTAATTCTAGTAAATATAACTTAACTAGAGTATTATAGTAAACCTACTATAGATCTTTTAGTACTAATTAGCTATTAATTATTAAGTACTATATATAGATACGCGTACTAAAAAATATAAATATTAGACTAATATTATCTTTAACTATATCTTTATATTACTTACCTTTTATTTCTAGAAAAAAAGTAGAGATATATAGATAGTTTTTTAGAGTAGCTCTTAAAAACTCTAAATAATATAGAAAGAGATCTCTATTACGTTACTTTTTTAAGAAAATCTATTAAATAGATAAAAGTATTTTAGTAGCTAAATTTATATATTTACTAATATCTATAGTATAATTATAGCTAGAATAGTAAACTAAAGTAACTAGATAGCTAATACTAAAGCTCTCTAATATACTAATAAGCGTATTTAGAATATCTAATAGATAATTCTATATAAAGATAAAGAGTAGAAAGATATATATTAAACTAGTAATACTACTATTACTAATCTACTTAAGTATATTCTATAGAAACTAGAGAACTTTACTAAAGTATTAGATAAGAAAAAGTAGTACTCTATAACCTAGATATAAGTTTTAGATAAGTAAGATTAATATTCTAAATAAGTAACGCCTAGTAATAATAATATTATTCTTAAATTAAAACTATAAAGTACTAAGTAAATTACTAGAATTAGGTTATAGTAGTAGTCTTCTTTAAATAGATTCTTTAGATTAGGTAATAGTTCTAGGTTTAGTATATATAGTAGGTTTAGTAGAAATAGTACGTTTAGTAGTAGTAGTAGAATTTTAGCTTTTTTTAGTATAAAAAATAAGTCTTTAGAAGCTCTTAGTTCTTAAATATAAGAGACTTCTAGAGGTTTACTTTCTCTATAAAATTTATAGTAGTTAAGAGTTAGTAGTTACTATAGTAGATATATAAAGTATAAGTACTAAAGAATATAGCTTAAATATTAGTTAGATAGTAGACTTTAGTAATTTTTATTTTATTTTAAGAAATAGAGTCTACTCTATAGATATAAATAGAAATAAATAGAGTTTTATAGTAGTTTTAGTAGTAGAAGCTATTAAATAGAGTAGTATTTATAATCTAGTTAATATTAGAATTATAGTACTATAGCTAGTAGATTCTAAGAATAGAGTATATTTCTAGCTTTATTATATAGAGCTAGATTTCTTTTATATAGTTATATATATAGAGCTTTATAGTTTTAAAGTATTAAAAAAAATTTAAAGAGATAAAAAAATCTTCTTTATAAAGAATATATAAAATACTACTTTTTAGATTTTCTTTAAATTTTAAAGAATTATTCTTTAAGATATAAAAAAGAGTTCTTTAAAATTTAAAGAAAAAATATAGTTTTAACTTATCTAGTCTAGCTATTAATATATCTATTCTTAGCTTTTTATATTACTAGTTAGATTATATAGACTTTTTCTTTCTAATAAAAACGCTATACTCTAATAGTATTCTTTCTAGAGAAAAGATTAACCTCTTTAAGTTATAAAGAAGAGTTTTTAAAATCTTAAAGAAAATTCTTTAAATTATTAAGAAAATTTAAAGAGATAAAGAAACTTTCTTTATAGAGAATATATAAAATACTACTTCTTAGATTCTTTTTAAATTTTAAAGAAGAGTTTTTTAAGATAATAAATAGTAGTATTTAGAAGATAAAATATATACTAGTAGTATTATAGAGTAAGATAAATAATATACTCTTCTTAAAAAAGCTTTAAAGTATTAAGTATATTCTAGTATATTCTCTTACTCTCTTCTCTCTAGAGAAAAATTAACCTCTATATATTTTAAAGAAGAGTTCTTAAAATATTAAAGAAAATTCTTTAAAGTATTAAGAAGAAATTTAAAGAAATAAAGAAACCTTTTTTATAAAAAAATAAGAGTCTCTTTAAAATTTAAAGAATTATTCTTTAAGTAGAAATAGTACTCTAAATAATATACTTTACTATTAAACTACCTATATTATTAAACTATCTAAAAATACTAAGTCTCTACTAAATACTACTATCTTATTTAGATTACTCTAACTCTAAGCTACTTAAGATAAATCTAGATAAGCTATTTAACTTATCTATATTATCTTTAACTATCTAGTATATTTATATATTATACTCTAGCTTACTATAGTATCTATAGTATTACTAAGCTAGCTAGCTATTATGTGCTACTACCTCTTTACGCTACTTTTTACTTTTATTCTAATTTATAGTTTCTCTTTAAGTAACTAGCTATAAGCTAGCTTTAATTATAAAAGTATTCTCTTTTTAAATTTACTTTCTTTTACGTAAATTATACTTCTTTTTCTATATATTAGCTACTTAAAGCTAGGTAACTTTAGACTCTATAAGTACTAGCTAATACGCTATTAGCTTATTACCTTTCTTAAGCTAATTAAGTAACTTAATAATATAAGTTAGTAATAAATTAAGATACTATATAATTTTTCTTTAAATTAGAGTTAATTATAACTTTAATTTAGTAGAATTACTAGGTATTTTATACTTCTAGGTAGTAGTATTATTAGTAGAGAGTATTAGCGTACGTAATTAAACTTTAAGCTTTAATACTACTAAATCTAGGTTAAATAGAACTAAGCTAGCGTTTCTAAATTTTACTCTAATATTATTATTTATAATTAATGTGTAAAAAGTTATATAAAATATAAGTAGAAACTTAGTTTTTATAATATAGTTAATATAGCTATATATTAGAATTTTAACTTAGTAGCTATATACTACTTTTAATAGTAAGAAGTAGCTAATATTAAGTAGCTATAAAAGATATAATAAATATACTAGTATATAGAGAGCTATAATTTTATTCTTCTTATAGTACTACTAGAATTTAATAGAGCTATAGCTTTTATAGCTATTTAAAATTAGTAAATAATATATATCTATAATATAACTCTTAGTATATACGTTAAAGTACTTTAACTATATAATACTAACTTTATTTATTATCTAGCTACTTTTAGAAATAGCTATAACTTAGTTATATAGTAGCTAGCTATCTTTATACTATACTAAGAGATAGTTTTTTTTTATAATAATAAGAAATAGTAGAATCTATATATTATCTACTACTCTTACTATTATAATTACTAAAATC